ATGGGGTTTTGAAATGAAAAAGGCTTAGGTTTAAGGTGTGGTAACTGTCTCAAAGATGGAGATCAGCTATCTGGACAAGCAAAGGGATATGAAAATAGGTAAAGAATGTCCAGATATGTATGTGGTAGCCATGAGTTGAAATCAAATGCAAGCATTGGTAATTAAAGATCAAGTTATGGTTCAATAGATAGGGAAATGCATCAAATCACAGCAATGGTTGAATGAGATGTGCATGCAGTGATATGATCAAGATAAACATGGTTCTTGCTGCTCAATCAATCTCACCCTAATGCACAAGAGAATCTAAAAACAGGGCACTCAAGAAATCGCAAAATGATGAACAAGTTTTCAAAGTCAAATCAACAATGCAAGTGAAAGATGCAATCCTAAACAATCTAACAAATATGAATGCAAAAAGATGAAAATATTTTTGGATTTTTTGAAAATTTTATGATTTTTTTGGTTTTTCTATGCAAAAGAAATGAAAAACTAAGAACAAAGAAAACAAGGTTAAATCATCTCTTGAACCCTCCCCCAAACTTAAATCACACAGTCCCTTGTGTGAGAGAAATTTAGTGAAAGATTCAAGAGGGCAAAACCAAGAAAAACAAAACAAATGCAAGAAAATATGAAATGGTATATACAAGGGTTGGTGTTTGATACCTCAGTGCCCCCCAAAGAACTGGGAGGCAAGGTCGTGGTCTGGAGATGGCAGACGGCCATCAGGACGCTCCACTCGCTGTGCTCACTCGATCGAGCTTGCTCTTGGCTCGATCGAGTTGTGCCTCGAGTTGTTGCTTTCCTTCCTAAAAACCTGTTCCTGCAAGACTTAGCTAAGAAAAACGCAGATAAGATAGACATGGGAATTCCTCCCAAGTGAGCTTGTTTTAGGTCTCATAGCTTGACCTTACCCCTTTTAGGCCGGGGTTGGATCTTAGAGGAGTGATGATCTCCTCTGTGGGGGTCATTCCTAGATATGGCTTGCATCTATGTCCATTCACTGTGAATTCCTTCCCCTCTTGATTGAGTAAGAGTGAGGGACCCATAGGGTAGAACTTCGTGAATCTTGAATGGTCCCGCCCACTTTGACCTCAGCTTCCCGGGAAACAACCTTAGCTTGGAGTTAACAAGAGCACACTGTCCCCAACCTTGAAGTCCTTAAGGCGAATCAGTTTGTCGTGGGCTGCCTTGGTTCTCATCTTGTAAATCATGGAGTTCTCATAGGCATTCATTCTGATTTCCTCCAACTCAAACAAGTTCATTACCCTCCTTTCTTGTGCTGCCTTTATATCAAAGTTCAGCATCTTTACTGCCCATAAAGCCTTATATTCGACCTCCACAGGTAAGTGGCAATCCTTCCCATACAGCAAATTGAAAGGAGACCTTCCAATGGGGGTTTTGTAAGCTGTTCTATAAGCCCAAAGTGCTCATCAAGCCTTGCTGCCCAGTCTTTCCTAGTACCAAGCTTCTCTAGTAATCTCTCTTACTCAATTGACCTTATCTGCTCTGTTGGAGACCTCAACTTGCCCACTGGTTTGAGGGTGATAAGGGTGGCGACCTTGTGCTTGACTCCATAACTTCTCATCAACTTCTCAAACACCTTGTTGATGAAATGGGAACCTCCATCCGAAATAACAACCCTTGGGATGCCATATCTTGGAAAGATGATGGTTCTGAAAGCTTGACAACACTTGGCATCACAGGTTGGGCAGGGAATGGCTTCAATCCATTTGGACACATAGTCACAGCAACCAAAATGTAGTTGTGCCCGTTTGAGGAAGGTTTGAAAGGTCCCATGAAGTCTATTCCCCATACATCAAAGATCTCAACTTCTAGAATTGGGTTTAGTGGCATTTCATCCCTCTTGGTGATCCCTCCTTTCCTTTGGCATGGATCACACTTGGCAATGTAAGCTTGCTGCATCCTTAAACAAGTAGGCCACCATAAACCAGATTGCAAAACCTTAGTTGCTGTTTTGAATGTAGCAAAGTGACCTCCATAAGCTGACCCATGGCAATGCTCTAGAACTCCTTGTACATCTCTTCAGCTATGCATCTCCTGTAAATGCTGTCTGGTCCTCTCTTGTACAAGTAAGGCTCATCCCAATAGTAATGCCTAGCATCCTTGAAGAATTTCTTCCTCTTGTAAGCATCAAAACTACTAGGGACTTCTCCGGACACCATGAAGTTCACTATATCAGCATACCATGGCAAATTCTCATCACGCAGAGCCTTAACTTCTTCCAGCCTGGCTTTCTCATCAAAACTCTTTCAAGATCATGATTGCCATAAGCTGTTCTTCAGGCATAGAATCATTGATGGGGATCATGTCTTCAACTCGCATCCTAGAGAGATGATCAGCAACTCCATTTCTCTACTCCCTTTTTGTCCACAACTTCTATGTCAAACTCTTGAAGCAAAAGGATCCATCTGAGAAGTCTTGGCTTTGTATCTTTCTTAGCGAAGATGTGCCTAAGGGCAGCATGGTCAGTGTGCACAATCACCTTGGACCCAACTATATAGCTTCGAAATTTCTCAAAGGCAAAGACTATGGCAAGGAGCTCCTTCTCTGTGGTTGCATACTTGCACTGAGCATCATCCATAGTCTTGCTTGCATAGTAGATGACATTGAGTTTCTTGTCTATCTTTTGGCCAAGCACTGCTCCTACTGCATAGTCAGATGCATCACACATAATCTCAAATGGGTGATCCCAGTTTGGAGCTTGAACTATTGGCGCAGATACCAGAGCATCCTTCAGCAAGGTCCAAGACTTGTGGCATTCTTCATCAAACTCAAAATCTGTCTCCTTGCACAGAAGCCTTGTCAAGGGTCTTGCTATCTTTGAGAAATCCTTGATGAATCTTCTGTAGAACCCTGCATGACCCAGAAAACTCCTTATGTCCTTCACAGTCTTGGGAACAGGGAGCTGCAACATGACATCCACCTTAGCTCGATCGAGCTCGATCCCTTTCTCGGAAATCTTGTGTCCAAGCACAATCCCTTCTCGAACCATGAAGTGGCACTTCTCCCAGTTGAGTACTAGATTGGTCTCCTCACACCTCTGCAACACCCTGCACAAGTTAGACAAACATGAGGAGAAGGATGCTCCATAGACTGAGAAATCGTCCATGAAGACTTCTACCATCTCCTCTATCAGATCTGAAAAAATGGAGGTCATGCACCTCTGGAAAGTAGCTGGAGCATTGCACAGCCCAAATGGCATCCTTCGATAAGCAAAGGTGCCATAAGGGCATGTGAAAGTGGTCTTCTCCTGATCATTAGGGTGGATCGGGATTTGGAAGAAACCACTGTAGCCATCAAGAAAACAATAAAAAGGGTGGTTTGCCAATCTTTCTAACATCTGATCAATGAAAGGGAGAGGGAAATGATCCTTTCTAGATGCTGAATTTAGCTTCCTATAGTCAATACACATGCGATGCCCCACTATTGTTCTAGTGGGAATCAGCTCCTCTTTGTCGTTTTTAATGACAGTGATCCCCCCTTTCTTTGGGACGCAATGAACTGGAGATATCCAAGTGCTATCACTGATGGGATAGATTATCCCAGCATCAAGCAACTTGAGTATCTCTTTCTTCACTACTTCCTTTAGATTGGGGTTCAATCTCCTTTGAGGTTCAATGCTTGACTTACTTTCATCCTCTAGATGAATCCTATGGATGCATAGGTCAGGGGAGATCCCTTGATATCATCTAGAGTGTAACCTATTGCTTTTCTGTACTTCCTCAATTCAACAAGCAAAGCACTCAACTGTTCAGGTTCCAAATCAGAGTTCACAATGACAGGGTAAGTTGAGTTTTCACCCAGAAATGCATACCTGAGGCCCTCAGGCAAAGGTTTGAGGTCGACCTTAGGTGCCTTGAGCTCAGACCAATCTCCTTGAGCTTTCCTTGCATTCAGTCCCCAGCTCGATCGAGTTCGTTTGTTCGAGGCTCGACTCGATCGAGTTCTTGATCGAGCTCACTGCCATGACCTCGCAAACTGGCCTGTCCAACCCCTCAATGCTCAGAATGTTTGGAACTGGTCTGAAGGTGTCAAGGAGCTTCTATTCCTCGGTTTCTGAGCTCACATATCCTTCTGAAGAATCCTTGGTCAAAGCAACTTGTAGGGATCCTCCAATGATAGCTCTTCTAAAAGCTCATCTGCCAACTGATCCATTTCCTCAACATAAAAGAGCTGACCTTCTATTGTTGGTTTCCTCATTGTATCCTTGATGTCAAACTTCATCTTAGGTCCTTTCCCAAGTTTAGCTCAATTGTTCCTTCACAGACATCTATCATTGCTCTTGCTGTAGCTAGGAATGGCCTTCCTAGTATCAATGGATCTGTTGGTTCCTCATCCATCTCAAGCACAATGAAGTCGGTGGGGATTTCTACATTCCCTATCCTCAAAGGCAGGTCTTCAAGCATCCAGTTGGTAACCTTATCGATCTATCTGCCAAGACTAGTGAGATTCCGCAGGCTTGGTACTTGTGATATCCCAGTCTCTTTGCTACAGACAAAGGCATGAGGCTGACAGATGATCCTAGATCGCAGAGGCTGTTTTTGAAAGATAGGGGTCCCAACATGCAGGGCAAAGTGAAACTTCCCCGGATCTTCCTTTTTGTCGGAGATGACCTTCCGCTGAATGATTGCACTGCACTCACGAGTCAACACTACCATCCCTTGTGCTTCCCTGGTTCTTTGCTGAACAGCATCCTTCAGAAATTTCTGATAAGGTGGAATGAGCATCAAGGCGTCGATGAAAGGGCAACTTCAGCTCAAGCTGTCTCATTAGTTCATCAAACTTGGCCTTGTGTGCTTCCAACAGTTGTTTCTTGAACCTTCCTGGAAAGGGTAGAGGGGTTTGTATGGTGGTGGTCCTGATGGAGTGTCTTTCTTCTTTGCAACAGGTTTAGCTGGTTGGCTGGAGCTTGCTTTGTCTGCTCTTTCTCAGCTCGATCGAGCTCTGGTTTGTCTTGCTGAGTCTCGTTTCTTCAGCTCGATCGAGTTCTGGTTCAGGGTTTTGTTCCAGCTCGATCGAGTTCCGGGTCGAGTTATCAGCATACTCGACTAAATCCTCCCCTTCCTCGTCATCGATGTCCACAGCGATTTGGGGTGGGCTACCTCTACTTGGGAATTGTCGCCCACTTCTTAGTGTAACTGCTTGGCATACTCTTGTGGTGAAGAGGATGATGCACTTGAAGACTCAATTATTTGTTGATGCGGAGTCAGGTTTTACCAAACTCCTAGACCTCTGCAAGTGCACAGATCGCGGAAGTATGGGTATCGAACACAAGGACTGGCTATTGAGTACACTTTGAAACTATGGATTTTGGATCAAGCTAAAACAAAAGTATGATTGAGGTTGTAATGGTGAACCGAACTAGCAAGTATAACGAGGTTGTAAATCAATAAAGGAAAAGCGCTAGGTCATAGGGGCTATCGCAGAGAAGCAAGCAATGATCAATGAAACAATGATAGATTAATTGATTAGGGATATTGGGATATTAAGAACCATCTAGAACACAGATCACGAATATAAAACCATTCCACTTTCGAGGCTCCGGCTCCTTTGCTAATCTACCTAGTCGCTAAACTTTTGGTATGTCCCTAGGTGATTAGATCAAGCATTAGAATGAATAGGTTCTGATACAGTTCACTAGATATAGATAGATCAACTTTCGCAGTCTAAGAAACCTAGCTTGTCAAAGAATATGTCCGGCGAATGATACAGCACTGTCGAGGCTCAAATCAACCTAAGATCGGATTACTAGATGCGCGGTAAAGCAATCAGCATTAGTTAAGTGCACAAGACGAGACAAAGACTCTAATATAATCCCTAGCTAATCATTGAAATCAAAGATCATGCAAGCAACTCATTGAATAGTAACCCTAGCAACCTAACTAGTGGATTACTCAGACATGATCAAAGCAAACACACATAGAGATGAAGAAAACATGATTGCAATAAAACTTAGAGTAGGAAATCGAAATACAAGGGCGGCTCTCTTTCACAAGAGGCTAAAAATCCATATATATAGTGCTAGGTCTTTCTAGAGGCGGCTTAGGGTTAAGCCGGGCTTGAAAATATGAAAGTTTGGGCTTCAAAAGGGCTTCGGGTCGACCGCGGCGTTGGGACGGTCGTGCGGGACGATCGGCCGGACAATCGTGGCCGAGTCGGAACGGTCGGGGTCGGACGGATTCACGGTCGGCCGGCGTGGTCGAGCGGATGATTTGGCCGATGAAATTCTCGGCCGGACGCGGGACGTTCTTTCCCGGCTCGGACGGATGCATCGGCCGGTACGCGAGGAGTTGCGCGGCCGCGAGGCTTTTTCCCCGGCTCGCGCGCTTTGGTCGTGCGCGGCGTGGCGTGGCGGTTGTGGCGTGGCCGACCGCGGGCTTAGTTTCCCGGGTCGTGATGCGTGATCGGCCGAGTGGTTTGGACTTTGGCCGAGACTTCAGTCGGACGGACGAGTTTGGCCGAGCGCGGAACATCGTTCCTCGGCCAGCCGGACTGCGCGGTTGGGCGCTGATTCTCGATAGAGCCGTCTGGACAGTCTTCACTCTTTTGGTTATAACTCCTTTTCTACTCATCCAAATTAGGCCATTCCAGTTGCGTTGGAAAGTTAACTCAATCAGAGCACGCAGGGAACTGGTCTTGATGAAATCCATTGAGTAGATCTTTTTCTGGGCCCTCTTAAAGTTGGTGCTTGTGCATGGAGCGGCTTGAAGTGCAAATCCTATGGTTTTGCTCCAAAATGCATCATTTCACCTGTTTAGACTCTAGACACTATAAACACAGTAAAACTACCTTTTTAGATAGAAAACCTGCCAAAAACCATTAGAAAACAATGCTAAAACAGTATAAAAAGTGGGTAAATTAGAGGTATATCAACTCCCCCAGACTTAGATCTTTGCTTGTCCCCAAGCAAAAAGAATCTAAATCCGTGAAAGAGGTTTGAAAACGTGGAAGCTCCCTTGCTCTTTTGAATATCCTGTGAAAGGTTCCTTTCCTGTATTCCACTATGAACATAGACAACATAAGGTTAGCTTCACATACACCCTGCAAGTTTAGCGAACAATACCAACCCAACTAGTCTCATCCAGCAATCCAAACTCTCTATTGCTAACCTCTTGCATAAATTTAAAGCGTGAATTCTTTATCAAGGGGACATCGATCAATTGAACTTGTTCTTACCCACTTGATCCTCTCCAAGATTGCCTCTTTAAGTGCAATGAGTTCTTTTCCTCTCTCTTTCTCACATCAGAACTTTGAAAGGTCAATTTCTCCCTACTTTTCTAGGGTATCATTTTATTTTTTCTATTGACCCTTCTTTCAACCACAGGATAAGTCTTTAGCTTGTTCCTTGTTTGACTAAGGTATTCCATAAGACATGAAGGTACAGACATATGCATTCCTCATGCTTACTTGTTTTCCTTGTGCTCTTTGAGCTTTTTCTCATAACATTACTTACCATTTGGGATGGGAGAGAGAGGAGAACTCTTTAAAGATTAGACAAATCTTATTGAAAATCAAGCAAGGAACTGTCGACATGTATGCCAACCCCCTTGACAAGAGTAATTAAGATTGATTAAGGTGAGGTTAACTCTAGATTGCTTGGTTACCTTAGAAATTTTGCTGAGCTAGCATGTCGATCCACTGTAAGAGCTTCTGTTAGGCTTGTGCCTTTAGCTGGTTTCTGCTCTAGGGTCATGGATTGTTAGCACAACACTCTCAATTCTCAAAGCAAGTTCATAACTTCCGGACTGGTTTTTGACTCAATAAAACTTTTTGAAAAACATGAAACAAAGTGAATAAAACATAAGAAAAGAAAGAAAAATGCATTAGTAACACAATAAAACTCCCCCCAGACTTAACTTGCACCGTCCCGGTGAAAGCAAATCACATTAAGGTGAGAGGTAATATTCAAAGTAAAAGAAAAATAAAGAAAATTCATTAAAATAAGATAGGGATAGAAAATGGAGATTTGTAAGTGTCCATTGCACTAAGTACCACTTGAGATGACTATGTGTGGCAGTGAGAAGAACTCTCTTCCTCATCTATGGGGTCATCGCCCATTGGCATAGAGCTGAGATAGAGATGCGCCCATTGGCATCGCCTATCTTGAAGAGTAGGAGTCCATCACCAGCTGGTTGGTCTCCATTGTGGTTGGGAAAGGCAAGAGCTACTGTGGAGAGAAACTCCTTTGTGAGTTGTGAGTACTCACTACATTCTAGCTTGAAGAGCTTGCTCAAGCCTAGCTTCCTTATGTACCATGTGACATCATCTCTTATCTTGAGAAGATCAAGGGTTTGGGTGTCCATCTTCACACATGGCTCGATGTTCACCTTCTCCATTGCCTTCTTACACTTTCTTGGGTCTTGATTTTGTTCTCCAACAAAGGTTACAAGTGCCCAATCATCTTCTCCTCTTCTTGGACTCTCCACATGTTCTTGACTTGCATCAATGGAATGTGGTGAAGTTGGTATTGCTGCTCTTGCATTGGAGCTACTACTCCCTAGCTTGATTTGTTTCTTTGGTGGCTCCATGAATGGGTTCTTCTTCTTCTTCATACTCTCATTTCCTTTTGTCTTTGCCATTGTGTACCTACAAGAGCAAATTCTTGGGAAGAAATATGAGTTTGTGATTAATGCAAAAGAAGAATAAGCTAATTGAGTTGTAATAATGATATGGAATAAAGGAACAACTCAAGGCTTAATCATGAATCAAAGAGACAAAATAGAAATTTCACTTTTTCAAAGTTAATTTTCGGATTTTACTGTTCATCCCAAGATTATGGTGCAAAATTTTAGCAAATCAAGAGAAATTGAGTTTTAATCCAAGTAATCACTAGATAAACGAATTGAGCAATTTCACCTTTGAATAGGGGTTTGGAATGCCCAATAAGTTTTGTGAAAAACTATTCAATTGTGGAAATTAAACTTCAAATTAACTCTAAACCACCTAGGTTCCACCTAGCTAAGTTCATTACAAGACTCATAAGGATGGTAATTTCAAGTTTAAACAAGAGTTTAGACAAACAAGAAACTTATGAGAATTTCGATCTTGCATAAACATGGGATTGAGTTAGAAGACATACCTTGTGTGTTGAAAAGTGAATAAAGGTTGCAAGAGCAAGTAAATTCCAATTTAGAGTTATGAACAGTAAAAGTTTTGAAATCAAACTCTTAGAGTTCCTCTAATGGAGTTTAGGGTTTTGGAGAAGAAAGAGAGGTTCTTGTTGTTTTCAAGGGAAAGTAAAGTAAATAGATCTAATCCTATCAATTTTCCTTTTCAAATTCGAATTTTGATTGAAAACCGGTTTAAGTTGGTTTAGAATGGTTAAAACCGGTTTGAATTAAATGAAAAGGGGACTTACCTTGGCCAAGAAAATTTTGGGCCGATGGCCGGGTTTTGTCGCGGTCGAGCGATTTGGTCGGCCAAATTTGTTTTGGCCGAGAGATTTCGGCCGAGGCCGATCGATGTTTCCCGGATCGACCGCACGGTCGGTCCGTTCCGAACATAAATCCGGCCGATCGCGGCCTATTTCTTCCCGGTTCGTGCGTGTCGCGCGAACGTTTTCTGTCGCGCAATAGAGTAATCCGGCCGAGCACAAGCTATTCCTTCCCGGCTCGACCGTGACGGTCGGCCAAAATGGAAATTGCTCGGCCAAAATTTCTTTTGCGCGTCCGCGGCCAATGTTTTGGCGCGGATTGTGTTTTCACACCTTTTTCTCCTTCTATCCTATCTTAAAACAAAGAAAACACAAAAGCAAAACAAAAACTAAGAAAATTAAAGAAAGAAAAGTAAAAGTACCTCATGGGTTGCCTCCCATGCAGCGCTTGTTTTAAGTCTTTAGCTTGACTGTAGGCTTGGCACTCAGGAGAAGATAGAGACAAGAGGCATCTTGATCCTCCAAGTCTTTTCTCCTTGCAATGAGTATCTGGTGGGTGATTCACAGCTGGATAGACAATCTCTCCATGAATGTCCCTTGGCACTACTGCCTTAGGAAAAAGCTTTAGAGTTCTTGTTCACTTTCTCTTCTTTCTTGGCTTGGCCTCATCTTCAATCTTGGTTGATCCCTTGGGCGGTTTTGGTGTAGGGGCCTTAGTCTTACTCCTTGCTTGTTTGGCAAGCTGCTTGGGCTTAGGAATGGGATCTTCCTTGATTGTTTCTTCAGTTTCTCCTTCTTGGGGTGGCTTCAAAGTAACTTTCTCCTCTTGGACCATGTCAACAAAAGAGTTCTTTGTTGAACACATAGGGAAGAACATACCCTTGTTCACCTTGTTGAAAGAGATTCTTTGATTGGGGAAATCAAATATGGCACCCACAGTAGACAGGAAAGGGGTTCCAAATATGAGAGGTCTATGGCTACTCTCTCTCATTTCCACAATCTGGAAATCAGTAGGGATAGATGATGAAAGGCTTTTTGTGTGTGTATGTGAAAAGATATGAAATGAATGAAATGAGATGAGTGGAATGCAATCAGTGGTATATGATGGTGGTAAGATGCAAACACAAACACAGTCAACAATTCCCTTTAACCATGATAGTTGTAGTACAAAGGGTTATCAATCCAAAATGGGACTTGTCACTCTATGAGAATATGAAACAACCAGGAAGTCAAGCAAGCAGTTATGGTTTTGAAGTAACACTAACAACCTAAAAATGAAATGAGTGGAATAAAGTAAAGATCACTAAAACAGTCAGTAGAGAAATCCAGTCAGAGAGGGAATACAAACAAATAAAGTGCAATAAAAGTAAACAAAGCAGTGAAGTGTCAGCTCGACCAAGAGCTCGAGTCGAGTAGAGCAAAGTACCAGCTCGATCGAGTTTAGGGACGAGTTGAGACAAACAAAGCTAAAGGTGACGACTTTAACAAGATAAAGAGAGAATTAGGGTTCAAGACAGGGTTTTGCAATCAAAGGAATCTACACTTAATCAATCTAGCTCTTAAAACTCCTTGTATCAAGGCTTCTCTTGATATTGGGCTTCTCAATGCCTAGCCAACCCTTTCCCAAGGTGGAGGCTATCAACCAAGGAATGATCTCAGAAACAGGGGGTTAGCCAGTGAGAATCAAACCTTGGAGGCTATAGGATCATTGCCCAAACTAATCCATCCAACCCCTTAGACCTCTATTGTCTAGAGCAAGAGATATTGGAGCTCTTAGTGGATCTTTTCCAGCGAATGCCATCACTTTCGTGTGGGGATCGCCTAAGGACTTACAAGCCAGGGGTAGTGGTCATGTAGCCTTAAGATCTATCCAAAAGAGAGAGAATCTAGATTAAGACCATAAGCTAGAAGGATTAAGCATATGAAACCTCTAATCTATCCCATCTCAAACCCTAATGGGTAACTACTCACTACACATGAATGTAAACACAAGCAAATGCAATAAAAGAGACATCATAAGAAAGAGGAGATGAAATTAAACAACTTTTATTGAAATAAGCAAGTGCAAATACAAGAAGATTATCCAGGATCTAGGATTCAAGAAGCAAGAGCTTCAAGAACACAAAGATGGGATTAGATCTCTAAAAAGTAAAAGACAATAAATTAAAAGAAACTAAAACAAAATAATCTAAAGCTTGGTGGTTTTTTCGTGGCTTAGAGCCTTTAAATACAAAGAGGATTAGGTTTAGGGTCAAAGGAAAGTCAAGGGGGAAGCAACATTTTTCGGGTTTGACTTTGACTTCTCAGCTCGATCGAGTTGAAGCTTGGCCGGTCGAGTTGAGGAACTCGACCGGTTGGTCGAGTGGACGGTCGAGCTGGTCTTCAAGATGGCTTCTCCCTTCTTCCTTTGCGTATCCAGTTGAGCTGCTTCCATGTGCCAAGTCCCTCCATGCTCCTCATGTCCCATATGCTCCAGAATGCTCCAAAAGACCTATTTCAAAGGACCAAACATGCATATGTATGCAAATGCAACCTAAAACTAACATGAATGCATAAGAAGAGAAAAGGAACAAGATATGATGCAAATGGAAGCTAAAACTATGCAAAAGATGCATAAAAGATGTGCTAAAACTATGTAAAATGCAAGTACATCAACACCCCCAAACTTGAACTTTGCTTGCCCTCAAGCAAACAAATAGAACAAGAAAGAGATGAGGTTTGAAAATAGCTGATTCAACACTTAAAAACATGTCCTCAAAAGCGATTTGCTAAATGTCCAACTTAGAGATTCTAGAATGCAACAAGGTGAGAGATATTCATTAAGATTTAACCATGCTTATCAACATCAATCCCACTTCACAGTCACTCAAACAATGCATTCAAATCAGCAAATCCCTTTAACATTCATTAAGCAAAAACAGTGAACCAAAAACATGCAAGATCAATCAACTCATTTGGTTTCAAGGGTTTATGGGTTAAGAGACAAAGAGGGTCTCTTTTGTATGGTGGTTTAGTAACAGGGATCTCTCAAGAAAGTGGCTTTGCTTTGGCAGAAGGCTAAGTGTTAGAACCAAAGATGATGCAAGAACAGCAGCTCGAGCCCTAATCCTAACTCGATCGAGTTCAACACTTAGAGCTTTTTAGAACAAAATCCTAACTACCCTTTTTGGCATTTCGCCTTTGAAACTGAGGAGCTTTGCTCACTTTTCTTTTAAGAACTTCCTAGGGAGAGGCTTCTTGAGGTAACATCTAGCGGTTTGGGATTTTCTAAACACTTAGGGAACTTTTCTTTCCTTTTTGACACTTGAGGCTTTGCCTTCTTTTCATTCTACTTAGAACCCTTTTTACTTCCTTTTTTAACTTCCCAAACCTTTACTAGACCCTTTTTAAACACTGCCAACTCCCTGGACTTAACTAAACTCTTTTTCCTTTGGGTTTTTCCCAACTTTTACCACTTTTCTGGTTTTTACACCCAACTCGATCGAGCTCGAGTTGGCACCCCCAAACTTAGCCTGAAAACAATCCCAAGAGAACTAGACAACTAGAACTACTGCCCCTGCCGGTTTAAACACAACACCTTATGCTAAGCAAAGCCAAGAAAGGTTCTCACATTCGCACAAGAGATAATATGGGGTTTGAAATGAAAAGGCTTAGGTTTAAGGTGTGGTAACTGTCTCAAAGATAGAGATCAGCTATCTGGACAAGCAAAAGGGATATGAAAAGTGTAAAGAATGTCCAGATATGTATGTGGTAGCCATGAGTTGAAATCAAATGCAAGCATTGGTAATTAAAGATCAAGTTATGGTTCAAATAGATAGGGAAATGCATCAAATCACAGCAATGGTTGAATGAGATGTGCATGCAGTGATATGATCAAGATAAACATGGTTCTTGCTGCTCAATCAATCTCACCCTAATGCACAAAAGAATCTAAAAACAGGGCACTCAAGAAATCGCAAAAGATGGACAAGTTTTCAAAGTCAAATCAACAATGCAAGTGAAAAATGCAATCCTAAACAAGTCTAACAAATATGAATGCAAAAAGATGAAAATATTTTTGGATTTTTTGAAAATTTTATGATTTTTTTGGTTTTTCTATGCAAAAGAATGAAAAACTAAGAACAAAGAAAACAAGGTTAAATCATCTCTTGAACCCTCCCCCAAACTTAAATCACACAGTCCCTTGTGTGAGAAAAATTTAGTGAAAGATTCAAGAGGGCAAAACCAAGAAAAAACAAGAACAAATGCAAGAAAATATGAAATGGTATATACAAGGGTTGGTGTTTGGATACCTCAGTGTCCCCCAAAGAACTGGGAGACTAGGTCGTGGTCTGGAGATGGGAGACGGCCATCAGGAGCACTCCATGCAACTGGGGTTGCCTCTTGTGGCTCACTCGATCGAGCTTGCGGCTCCTCTTCCTCCTCTTCTTCATCTCAAAGTGTGTGTGGCTTCCTTGGCCTTGGTGGAGCTGGCTAGCTCGTACTGTCCATAGGGGTTCCATCTACTCCGGGGAGGCTCCTGGTAGGCTGGGATCGTATTCAAATCCGGATCCTCAAACTGGGGCTCCTCCAGGTCAACTCGACCGTCAGCTCGATCGAGTTGAGTTTCCTCTGTTTGGACTCGATCGAGTCCGGTGGTCGAGCTGGAGCGTCTGGCCTTGGAAGTCTTCCTCCTTCTCTGCGTGTTGTCTTCTCCTTCCCTTGGCTCGAAAGAAGAGGCTCTGTGAGGCTCTTGGGCAGGGAGCCTCCTTGGAGTGGTGAGGAGTGATCTACTCCTAGGGAAGTGGGGGCCTTGGACTTCTTCTTCTTGCTTGAAGAACCAGAAACCTTCTTCTCCAAACTTTTGATCTTGCTCACCATCTTGTCCATGGACTTTTGCATCTTCTCAATGGCTTTCCCTTGCCATTTGTTGAACTTTTGGAGAAGTCCAATCCTCTTGTGGGCAGCCACAACAGAGGGGTTCATCCTTGGAGCCTCATACTCCTCAAAGTAATAGCACTCAGGCTCACCCAAATCGCACTCGCTCCTCACTCGATCCTCAGCTGATCTCAGCTCGATCCTCAGCTCGATCGAGCTCAGGCTCCTCTTCTGCAAATCCGCTTCATGCCCAACAAAGTGTACACAGGGGGTCTGAAGTCAATGTTCTACCCCTAGGACCGTGGTGAGCTCAGGGTTGGGCAGGAGAAGCTTGGAGGGTCCAGCCAATGGTGGTGAACTTGAATTGGAATCTCCCATCCAACTCCTTGTGCTCAATGAGGAGGTTGGTCTTGCAAAACTTGATGTCCATCCAACCTGGTGGAGTAGACCTTCTCTTGTCCACTTACTCCTGCTGCACAAAGATGGTGTGATCACCCCTCCAACACTAAGCTTTCTTCCTCTTTGGTGCCTAGTGTTGTAAGCTGTGACCTTGTAGGCTTGGAGCTGCTCAAGGAGAGGCATGAGATTCCCTGCGTGTGCCCTATCTCCTCTGATCTTTTCCCATCCTTGTGCGTGAGATGATGGGCTTGATTCCCATGTCAAGGAGCTTCACTTCTCCCTCATTGATTGTCCAGTGGCTTTCCTTGCAAAGAAGGTGTTGGCAAGAGCCTTGTGGACATATCTAAGCACTGGGCTTCTGATCTGGGCAGCCTTGGACCTTGAGGAAGAGTACCCCTCTTCAGCGATTGTAGCCCATACTCTTTGGAGTTCTTCTTCCTTGATGTTCCATGGTTACCTTCTCCATAGTGAACCCAAACAGTATCTCAAGCTGCCTAAAGGTCACCATCTTCTTCTCTCCCTTTGCCAAGAAGTTATGTACCCCCAGCCTTGGTCCAACTCAGCTCGATCGAGCTCATCAAACTGTGATGCTTCATGAGCCAAAAACTCACAAGTCAAGCTCCTTGTAAGACTCCATGCGGTGAGAGAAGAACTTCCCCAATTGCATGTTCTTGAGCACCAACTCCACATCCTCAAAGATCCAAGCCTCTCATGGTGTCATCATGTGGGTACTTGGTCTCCACAAAGTCCATGGAGAAGAGAGCATTGTAGTGCTCTTGGTACATGGGGAGCTCATCCTCCTCCTCTCTTCCTCAGCCTCTTCCATGGCTCATCTTGGTTCCCCTCTTGTCATCTTCATCAACCAATTGGTTCACCTCTTCTCCTTCCTCTTCACTCTCAGTCCTCACTCCTTCCTCATTTGGAGAGCCATTTCCCCCTCTTGAACAAGGTTCACTCCAATCTCAAACTCCCCTTGCTCACTCTCACTACTATGGGTCATTCCTCTTCTTGGTTCTCCTTTCTCCCTCAATCTCTCACTCTCAGACTGTTCCTCAGAGTAGACATATCCTCTGCATCAGACTCTTCCATCCTCTGATCCATCCTTCTCCAAATCGGCTTGCATCTTAAGCCTTCTTCTCTTGCATTGCTTGATCTCACCCTCAACCATTCTCCTCTGTGAAGCGCGCTTCCCTCACTGTTTGTCATCTTGTTACTCTGTTTCTTCACTAAAGTACCTGAAATGCATCAAAGATTACAAAGAATTAGAGTTGTAATGATCGGTTTGGTCAACTCGACACTCAGCTCGATCGAGTCAAAAAACTCGAGTGACAAACTCGATCGAGTTGGGTGAAAACAGAGTATAACCAAACCTAATTCAAGTATTAAGAGCTGGAAAGGATGCTAATCAATCAAATTGAACCAAGAACAACTAGTAAATGGAACAATGAGCAATTCTAGTGAAAAGCATAGCATCTTAACCAATACCAAACTCAAATTCAACTTTCAAGCACATGCAACAAGTTTAAGGCAAAACAGAGGTGAGGTGAAACAAACTACAAGATTATACAGCAGAGGCGAAATATGAGCAATTACTCAAGAACAAGTCCACAAGGGACACATGCAATCAAAAATCAAAGAGAAACAAGCAATAGTTGAAATCGAGATGGAGGAATCAAGGGTTTTAGGGTTCATACCTTGCTTGAATGATGAATTGAAGACAGTAAACAAACAAGCAAAACAAGAGAAGAACAAGAAATCGCAAAAACTTAAGAGAGAAAGATTGAAAATCGAAATTTTTCTTGTGGTGAGAGAGAGAGAGAGATGAGTTTCAGAAATTTTAAGGTGTGGGAGAGAGGAGAAGTGGATTCGATCGAGTTATGGGGAAAGAGTGTTTGAGATGTGTGGTTGAGATTAAAAGTGAAATAAAGAGGGAACAAGAAACTAGGGATTTCTGATCAAATTAGGGTAGTGGGGGACCAAAATCAGCTTGTGGGACCCACTCCCTTGACCAAGAAAACGGTTATGAATTTGAAATTCAAAAACTTACCTCGGTCGAGTTGTAGAACTCGATCGAGTTGCCCTGGTTTCTAGCTCGATCGAGCTATCGGTCGAGCTGGCTCCTTGACACCTAAACTTAACTTATTGAAAGGTTAAAAACATAAAGATAGATAGAAATTGCATAAATAGAGTATGTACAAGGATAAACATGGGACTTCCTCCCAAGTGAGCTTGTTTAAGGTCCCATAGCTTGACCTTTACCTTCTTAGGCATTGGTTGAGCTAGTCCCACCATCAAGGGTGATAGTGAGGACTTGAGACAGAAGCTCCTTTAGCTTGGTTGGGTCCCTGGACTGTTCTGAAGTCACCAAGGCCTTGGCTCTAGAGAATGGCCTTGATCTCCCCTTGTACCTTATCTTGTACTCAATCTTCCCATTTTCAAACTTGGTGGGGAACAAAGTCATTGTGAGCTGAGATGGCTTGACTGAAGGGGCCTGAGCTGGTGGATCCTTTCTTTTATCCCTGGTCTTGCCTTAGAGGCTGCATCCTCCCCTTCTTTTAGAGCCCTTCCTAGTGGCTCATCAAACAAAGCTTGAAGGCTCTCTTCATCAAGCACACAAGGGGCTTGAACAAGTCTCTCAGCTCTTGGCCTATCAGATCGTGGTTTCTCAACTCTAGCCCTCTCAAGACGTGGCTTCTCAATCCTTGGTCCTCTCTCATCCTTATCCTTCCCAACTCTTGGTTCCTTGTCAACCCTTTCCTTCACAACCTTTGTAGCTCCATGACTCTTAGAACTGAGATTGGTACTGTCAATTGTGGCACAAAAGTCTGAACCTCTAGGCTGCAAGCGATATGACACCAAACTATTCACCTTGTGAAGGATCACTTCTTGCTTGTGAAAGTCTATTGAAGCGCCAACTGTACTAAGGAAAGGGGTTCCCAATAACAAAGGCAAATCCTTCTCTTCTTCCATTTCCATCACAGTGAGATCAGTTTGGATGATGCATTCTCCAATTTTCAAGTGATAGTTCTTGAACACTCCAAGAGGAGACTTAGAAGTTGCATCTCCAAACATGATTGAAGTAGTAGGGCGCTGCAAGGCTCCAGCTATGCCTAGCTTCTCTGCCATGGAGAGAGAGATCAGATTGATGCTTGCTCCAGAATCCACTAAGGCATTGTCAATCTCAAGATGCCCAAGTGTGCAAGGGAGAGTGAATTTCCCTTGATCCTTGACCTTTGGTAGGAAGGTGGGTGAAGTAAGCAGGTTGAACTGATGAGTAGACTCTTGTAGGACCTCTGAAACTTTATCACTGTTGGCTAGAACATCCTTGACCATTTGCATTTGATCAAATGCCTCACTCATGCTATCCATAGAGGCAACTCAATTCCAATCCCACTGAGATCTCTTCTGAACTTGTGAATCACTTCCTTGTGACCTTGACTAAGTAGGCGAGACGAGGAAGCGGCAACCGGTTGTAAGGATCAAGCAAAACAGGCTGTCGGACAGAAGAGGTCGGACTCGATCGAGCTAGAGTTGGACTCGATCGAGCTGCCGATCGAGCTTGTCGTGCGAGCTCAACTGGTGAAGTGTGAATGGCCACAGTAGGTGCTGCACTTCTGGTTGATCAATCTGGACTCCAGGAGCCTCAGCAGCAACAATCTCTTCATCATTCAGCAGTAAACAAAAATCTTCAATGACCCTTTCTTGATCCTCTTCTTCAACAAGTCCTTCTTGAGTGAAGATGACCTTGCACTGTTCCTTGGGGTTCTGAATAGCTTTACCAGGTAGTTGTCCTTGCTTTGTAGCAGCAGCAACAGAAGAAGCATGATTCTCCAGAGAGTAAACCCTTGTGTTGAGGTTCTCGATCTTAGAGTTTATTTCAGCTAGCTTCTTGCTTGTGTCCACTACCCCATCAGCTTGCCCTTGAAGTAGTTGCTTTAGCATTGCCTTTGAGCTCATTCTCTTGTGAAGGTGCAGGCTGGGGCGGTTGGTGGGGAAAGCCTGGTGGGATATTCATTTGTTGTCCAGGGAAAGTGCCTTGTGGTCCTTGGTAATTGTTCTTTTGACCATACCCATGTTGTGGCACCTGACTCGATCGAGCTGCTTGTTGTTGAGGATAGACTTGGTCCTGAGGGTTAGCAACATCAGTGTTGCGGTATGACATGGCAGGGTTGGACTTGTAGTTATAGTATCCTTTGTTGTAACCTCCTTGCCCATTGCTCATGTAGCACACCTCAGCAAATTGTGTATCCTCCCCTTCTTGGACTGGTTCCATCTCCTCAGCAGACACAAAGTTGACTTTCTTCATTGTGGACTGAGCTAGGATCAGCTTATCCAACTTCTCATTCAATGCCTTAACATCTTTTCTCAACTTTTCGTCTGACTCGATCGAGTGGTGGGTCGAGCTCCGGTTGGTGCGATCATACTCTTCTCCATAGCTTCCATTTGAGTTAGCTATGTTCTCCACAAGTTGCCAGCCATCATCTACATCCTGGTTGAGGAAGTTCCCATTGCTAGCTGTGTCTAGCATCTCCCTATACCTAGGCAAGCATCCTCTATAAAGAGTGGAGAGTAGTGATTCATTGTTGAATCCATGGTGTGGGCACTGACTTGTGTAGCCTTTGAACCTCTCCCAAGCCTCTGCGAATGTCTCATTGTTTCGCTGGATGAAGCTGGATATCTCTCCTCTAAGCTTGGCTGTGCGACCGGTGGAGAAAAACTTAGCAAGAAAGGCCTTCTTGCATTCATCCCAAGTGGTGATTGTGCCATGGGGCAAGCTCTTCTCCCATTGGTGAGCTTTGTCAGCTAGAGACATAGGAAAGAGTCTCAGCTTGATGGCATCTTCAGAGACACCATTGATCTTTGTCAAATCACAAAGCCTATCAAACTCATCAAGGTGGTCAATGGGGTCTTCACTTGGCAATCCATGGAACATCTTGTTCTGGACAAGGTTGATCATTCCCAGCTTGATCTCAAAGTTGTGGTTCTGCACTGGTGGTGGAACAATCCCTTGTCTCTGTTGGTGGCGGTTTGGAGCATCTCCTTGACCAATCGGTCGAGTTTGCCTAGCTCGACCGAGTCCATTGCCCAAAGGGTTTCCATTCCCCTCTGGTACATCCATTGTATCAGCAACAAGCACCTCAGGTTCCTCTTGTACCCTCTGTGACCTCTGAACCCTCTTTCTACCCGTTGTAAGTCTAGCTCGACCAAGTCTTCTGTAGACCGACTCGATCGAGTTCGCATACACCTGCAAAAAGAGACAAAAACCCAGCAGTACAATAGAACAGGGGTGGTATAGCTTGATCGTCCAAGTGTGTTTGAAACTCAAATGCAACAAAAATATTCCCAAATCGGCAACGGCGCCAAATTGATGATAGGATTTGTGTGTGGATGTGAAGATATGAAATGATGAAATGATGGTGGAATGCAACAGTGGTATATGATGGTGGTAAGATGCAAACACAAACACAAGTCAACAATTCCCTTTAACCATGATAGTTGTAGTACAAAGGGTTATCAATCCAAAATGGGAAACTTGTCACTCTATGAGAATATGAAACAACCAGAAAGTCAAGCAAGCAGTATAGATTTGAAGTAACACTAACAACCTAAATAATGAAAATGCAGTGCAATAAAAGTAAAGAAAGCAGTGAAGTGTCAGCTCGACCAAGAGCTCGAGTCGAGTAGAGCAAAGTACCAGCTCGATCGAGTTTAGGGACGAGTTGAGACAAACAAAGCTAAAGGTGACGACTTTAACAAGAAAAGAGAGAATTAGGGTTCAAGACAGGGTTTTGCAATCAAAGGAATCTACACTTAATCAATCTAGCTCTTAAAACTCCTTGTATCAAGGCTTCTCTTGATATTGGGCTTCTCAATGCCTAGCCAACCCTTTCCCAAGGTGGAGGCTATCAACCAAGGAATGATCTCAGAAACAGGGGGTTAGCCAGTGAGAATCAAACCTTGGAGGCTATAGGATCATTGCCCAAACTAATCCATCCAACCCCTTAGACCTCTATTGTCTAGAGCAAGAGATATTGGAGCTCTTAGTGGATCTTTTCCAGCGAATGCCATCACTTCCGTGTGGGGAGTCGCCTAAGGACTTACAAGCCAGGGGTAGTGGTCATGTAGCCTTAAGATCTATCCAAAAGAGAGAGAATCTAGATTAAGACCATAAGCTAGAAGGATTAAGCATATGAAACCTCTAATCTATCCCATCTCAAACCCTAATGGGTAACTACTCACTACACATGAAATGTAAACACAAGCAAATGCAATGAAATC